TATTCTTCAAGGAAATAATAGAAACTAGAAAAATATTTAGCAAATTTTTTCAAGCCGGGAGATGTGAGCTTCAAATTGGTGGGTGCATTTTCCTGATTTTCCTTTTTTCTACCACCTACTGTCATTTTGTAGATGACTTGTTTTAATGTTTCCCTAATGCTTCCTTGATTCTGCAGGTATTTATGAGTTATTTGGCACCATATGTATATATTTGGTGAGTGACGATAACAATTTTTGGTTCAGATACAGGATGGCAATTGTAAATCAAAAAACTCCATCAAAAACTGTTTGGAAAGAGTCGTCAATTTGCATAAAAACATGGAATAATTCCATTCTTCAATTCATGAAGGTGTCCAATATGTTGGAAGTAGATGCAGGATTTCTTTTACTAGATACAGTTGTCTCTGTTTGTGATATCTTGGACTGCTGTCCATGGTTTGAGTATTCAGACCTAGAGGTTTGTAGTTCTTCTGATTAGTCTCAAAATCTGCTAACTCTGATAAAAATCCATTCATGCTTTATTGAGCGAATAACAGACTTCAAGCTAGATGTTTATTCATGCAAGTAATGGAGGTACCGACTCTAACAGTCCACCTCCACCTCCCGAAGTCAATGACTATTCATAGCTATTATTTCCTTGACACCAAAGAAGAGTTCAACCCAAAAAAACAGCAAAAACAAAAGTTAAAAATTAAAAATGGAAAAGGAAGAATGTTTTTATTTTTATGTTGCTATACTTTGTTTATTCGTTGAAATTCTATTCTGTCCTTGAAAAATTCTCTTTCTTGGATTATTTCGTTTCCCTTCCTAGTTAGAACACCATCAGTTCATAGATAGTTTGCTTGGCTGCTGTGCATTACCTTCCCAGCATCTAATACTTTTCTTTACTAGAGATGTATGTGGCAGTTGCCATCAACTTCTTGACTTGATAATTTTATATTTATCTAAATGTATGTGCACTTGTTAAACGCATGTACATTTTTTGGTCAGATTTTAGCCTCTGAAGATGATCGAGATGCCCTGACAACTGACCCTGATGAACTCATTGATTTTGATGATAGTGAAAGAATAAGTGAAGATGAGGAAGACATCTTTAGAAATCTTCTTTCTAGGGCAGGTTTCACCTTACATATGGAGGTAATCCTTCTCTTCCCCAGGTCACTTTGAGAGAGAAACTCCTCATGGATGCTGATGCTATAGCTGGTTTCTTGACCGGACTTCGTGTTTTTTTTGATGACCCTGTAAAAGTGAAGCGCCTACTTCTTCTGACAAAGATATCTGGTAATAATGATGAAA